CATCTGAGATGTTCGGGAGTGGAATGCCTCATCCTGGGAGCAGATGCAGCGGAGACGAAGGCATTGGGAATAGGGGATGGCATTTTTTGCAGGAGGGTGGGTGGGAGGAGGTCTATTCTAGGTAGCTGTGGGAGTCGGTGGGCTTGAAATGGATATCGGTTTCCAGGTGGTTGCCAGAGATGGAAACAGAGGGGTCCAGGAAGGAGAGAGAGGTATCAGAGATGGTCCGGGTGAACTGAAGGTTGGGGAGGAAGGTGTTGGTGAAGTGGATGAACCGTTTGAGCTCCTCGTGGGAGCACGAGGCGGCGCCGATACAGTCATCGATGTAACGGAGGAAGAGGTGGGGTTTAGGGCCAGTGTAGCTTTGGAAGAGGGATTGTTCCACGTATCCTACAAAGAGGCAGGCATAGCTTGGGCCAATGCGGGTATCCATGGCCACCCCCTTTGTCTGTAGGAAGTGAGAGGAATTGAAAGAGAAGTTGTTAAGGGTGAGGACGAGTTCAGCTAAGCGGATGAGGGCGTCGTTCCTCCCACCTAAAGCCCCACCCCCATCTCCTACCTACTAGCCTCATCCCGTCCCCTTGACCTGTCCGTCCTCCCTGGACTGACCTATCCCCTCCCTAACTCCCCACCTACACTCACCTTTACTGGCTCCATCCCCGCTTCTTTGACCTGTCTGTCTCCTCTCCACCTATCTTCTCCTTTATCCATCTTCTATCCGCCGCCGTCCTCTCTCCCTATTTATTTTAGAATCCCCTTCCCCTCCCCCATTTCTGAAGAAGGGTATAGGCCCAAAACGTCAGCCTTCCTCCTCCTCTGATGCTGCTTAGCCTGCCGTGTTCATCCAGCTCTACACCTTGTTATCTCAGATTCTCCAGCATCTGCAGTTCCTACTATCTCTGAAACCTTTTCGGGCTACTTTGAGTAAAGGAATAAATTAAATGATGATTAACTTATAAAAGACATCTGGATAGAAGCTCTCCTGTCCTTCAAACATCCTGGCTATTGAGACCATGAGCACACATGAGAGACAAAAATAAATTACTCTTGAAACAAATGGCAGAGGGTCGCAAACACAAACAGTCTCTTCAGATATCTGGTTGATGCCTGTGTTCATGCTCCTCTGTCCACCCTACTTTTCCCTACATCCTTGCAGTCCTTTTCCTTTCATGAACTTATCTAGCTTCCCCTCAAATACCACTAACTATGCCGGTTAATTACACCTATGAGGTGCTGAGTTCCACAGTCCAACCACTCACCAAGTCAAATGTTTCTCCCACGTTCCCTGTTAGTTTAGAAATTATTATTTCATTTTTATGGCTACTACATTGAGACAACACTGCATCTTCCTCCCAAGTAGAAAGATGTTGTCTACGTCTACTTTACTAAATCCCTCCATAATGATCAAGACTCAAATCAGACTTCTTCCATCTTCTACTTTTCTCAAGCTACACAGAATCTCATTGCTTACTTGGAAGCCCAATGGTCAAAATTCACATTATGCCCATTTTATTCATATTAGGTGCGTTCAGCGACCTGACCCCATGCTGCCAATTGGTATCTTTCCACAGAAAGAATGTGGAGTTTGGAAATATATGGAATCTCTGGACCTTCTTGAACGCTCACACAGCATGAGAGATAAGAAATGGTGCCCAAATTGATTATCAACTTGTTTTGTCACTGAAGTGATGGAAGAAGAAGCGCAAATACAGTATGAAATTACCAAGGAGTGATGGTTGAGCACTTAGCAATTGATGGTTTTATTTTTGGTCTGCACAGGCAAAACACTATCATGGACAATGGTATATACTTGACAAACATGTGCAACACATACCATTTCCTCGCCACACCTCAGCCAAATGGCAACCGATCTCACCAGGCTCTTTGCAGAATTCAATAACATCTTTACATGTTGTTTCTGGGGTTATCGGGACTTCGGTTAAACCCTGTTCATTGTTACTTAAGTACACAGTCAGTATCATCTGCAAAAAAGAAAGATTTTATATACTAAACTCACGCTATAATGATTTCAGCTTATTTTTCAATAAACTCAGGATTTTCAAAGAACACTTTATACATTCAAGCTTAAACTACTTTTTAAGGACAAAATCATTTGAACAGAGGGCTAATATTCTTTTCTGAAGAGCAGATGTTTACTTGAAATATTATAAGTTACAACTCTCAACGTAACATAGTATAAAATTGTTGAGACTCTGGACAAAGCTGAAAGCAAAAACAGTGAAAGTGTATTTATTGCTTTAAAAAATTCATAGTACCCAGAAACAGGTATTAACATTTTCATATAAAAGGAATGCACCTGCCTCAGCAATATTTTACATCAAATGCACAACTTGCTGTTCAGCTAACACTGAATCCCAGCCTAACCAGCCAGTATGTCTTTAAATTGTATCAGAGATAGTTGGAACTGCAGATGCTGGAGAATCTGAGATAACAAGGTGTAGAGCTGGATGAACACAGCAGGCCAAGCAGCATCAGAGGAGCAGGAAGGCTGACGTTTCGGGCCTAGACCCTTCATCAGAAAAGTCTAGGCCCAAAACGTCAGCCTTCCTGCTCCGTTCATCCAGCTCTACACCTTGTTATCTCAGTATGTCTTTAAAAAAGTCAGATTTAAAAGAATGACGGCACTCAAAGGCAAAATACTGAGGATGTTGGAAATCAAACAAACAGAGAAATGCAGACTCAACTCTATTAGAACATTCAGCTCTGAAGAAGTCATACCAGACTCATAACGTTAACTCTGCTTTTCTCTCTCCACAGATGTTGCCAGACCTGCTGAGTTTCTCCAGTATTGTGTTTGCTTATAACAACTATGTCTACCAATTCCCCCATCTGCACCAACACCGAAAACATCTACAGCTGCAGTAGGTTCTTGTTTCATGCATTATGTGCATGGCTAATCAAATCACTGATTCAGAAGGCCAAATTCATTTGTTCTCATTGTACATAACATAATAATGCCACTGCTTGAAAAATAAAACTACAATTGGAGGCCAAGTACCACAAGGATTTAAGAGTAGTGGCTCTCGAAATGCATTATTTAAAAAAGGTCACCTTCAAATAAATTTGCTAAATGTTTGTTGAACATAAAGTTCTCAGTACGAATTAACTTGGTACTAATCATTTCACTTCTCCATATTTTATCTCTTACTTTGTTTCATTAAATAGTATGCTTAACTGGTTGATGAGGTTTTAACAAATACTAAACAATAATGGAGGGCTCAACTTGAATTCAACGGAAATTAAGATGAAAACCTGTTTCCAAAATGGGCAGCCAAATCCAAATACCTTGCCCAGTGATATACTGACCCAACCATCTCCTGTAAATCCGAAATGAAAGACAGCAAAAGATAAACACTATTCATTTGTGAACTCTAATAATGTACTATTTCCAGTCATGTGACTTGTACGCTAATTACTGGAGATAAATAGTATTTATCTGCTATTTTACTGAGACCGCATTTAACACAAGTAGCTTCAATCATGTGCCATGAGGGGACAAATTGTTGCAGTTATCCAAAAACTTTTAAGGCTGCAGATTGTAAGAAAACTGAATCATATTCTATCTACTTTATTAAGATGCATCACATACCTCAAAAAAACTGCACAAGATACTCAATTCATCAGAACACAAACAATAACAGGACCACTGTTCAAAGTTGTGCTTGCCAAAGTACACAAAAGCCGCAGTTCATGTTTATTTATGATGAAGAAACATTAACTTGATGATTGCAGGTGTTTTGTATGCAAGGTCAAACTAAGCATTCAAATATTACAATCAACTTTCTGTTACATCAATTCAAAGAATACAATATCATTTATACCTTTCCATGTTTGTAATTATTCTTATTCCCGAAATGAAGCTTTTGCTCAACTTTTTTACGTAGCCAAGAATTCTCTCTTGACTTAACTAAGCTGCGCAGCACCATTGCAACAAAATTCGTCATGTATTTTGCATTAATAATCAAACTTGAGAAAAGAAAATGGAGGGGAATACAAAGAACAGGAGAAAAATGTTCTTGTCAACAGGAATGGAATTCTAAAAGAAAACAGTCTACCAGCAGGTCTCTGTACTAGGCTCAAATGGTAATCCACTTCACTGTATTAGCTGACGTCATTAGGTTCTTGTGATGCAGAATCAGCAGGCATACTTATGACTTCAACACTGATAAGATGGCCCAAATAGAACAGGACAGCATTTTCTCCTGACAGCAAAGGCATATCAAGTACACTCTAATCTACGATACATTTGAGAGAAAACGGTTACATCAGTGGAGTGAAAAAAATCTGGATGCAGAATTATTGAACTGACAGTATGAAATTTTGCAGAATACTTACTTACTTTTCCAACTCTGTAGCTTACAATTAACAATTAAACATTAAAATACATTTCACTTTGCAGGTCCAACTTTGCAACAAATTGTGACAGTTTGATGTGACATTTTACAAGTTAACTTAGCTGTCATGATTATATACATGCAGGTAGTTCACCTCACACTATGGAAAATCACATCATAGGGAAATCGTTATACCTGTACAGCAGAAAGTTTGCATTGTGCAAACATTGTCCACTATTTATCAATTGCGTTACAGCCAATTTACATTAACAAAACACGCATTATAGCAGAACTAGCTGTACAGTACATTACAGAGCATTATGCATGTCAAGTGCAAACAGTAATAACTTGAATTTACTAAAAAAAAAATTGCGAAATAAATGTCCTAAAGCACACCATTAAAGTAATCAATACAAAGCTGCACAAAGAGATACAAGGAAGATGTAGGCTTGAGGGAATGCCTGCCAGGGGCAAAGATCAGTAGAGAACTTCAGGAAAGGAATTCTGGAGTTCATGGTGTGGCCACCAAAAGTGTTGTATGCGATTTGAAAGACTCCAGAATTTGAGGAATGTGGATATCTCAAACAGCTGTCAGAGTAGCAGCAGTCACAAATACAGAGTCAAAGCCATGGAGAATTTTGAAAACAGGTAGAATTTAACAGACTGGCATTGTTCAACTGGAAGTCAACATAGGCCAGCAAGCACAAAAGTGCTGGGTAAATGAGACCTCATGCGAGTTAGATTATAAATTGACCTGAAATTTACAAAAGGATAGAATCAAGGAGGACAATCAGGGAAACTAACAACAGCTTTCTCTGATTTTGTGCTGTATACAATGAAAAACAGCTCCCTAAATAACTGAGATAACAAGGTGTAGAGCTGGATGAACACAGCAGGCCAAGCAGCATCAGAGGTGCAAGAAAGCTGATGTTTAGGGGCTAGACCCTTCTTCAGAAATGGGGGAGGGGAAGGGGATTCTCAAATAAATAGGGAGAGAGGGGGAGGCGGATAGAAGGTGGGGCTTGAGGTGGGAGAAGGGGATAGGTGGAAGGACAGGACAGGTTAGGGAGGCGGGGACAAGCTGGGCTGGTTTTAGGATGCGGTTGGAGGGAGGGAGATTTTGAAGCTTGTGAAGTCCACATTGATACCATTGGGCTGCAGGGTTCCCAAGCGAAATGTGAGGTGCTGTTTCTGCAACCTTTGGGTGGCATCGTTGTGGCACTGCAGGAGGCCCAGGATGGACATGTCGTCTGAGGAATGGGAGGGGGAGTTGAAATGGTTCGCGACTGGGAGGTGCAGTTGTTTAGTGCGAACCGAGCGTAGGTGTTCCTCCCACCCACCTTCCTGCAAAAAAGCCCTTCCCAATTCCTTTGCCTCCGCCGCATCTGCTCCCAGGATGAGGCATTCCACTCCCGAACATCTCAGATGTCCTCATTTTTCAAGGACCGCAACTTCCCCCCGCCCCCAGTGTCGAGAACGCCCTCGACCATGTCTCCCGCATTTCCCGCAACTCATCCCTCACACCCCCTCCCCGCAATAACAACGAAAACAGAATCACCCTCGTCCTCACGTACCACCCCACCAACCTCCGGATCCAACGCATCATCCTCCAACACTTCTGCCATCTGCAATCCGACCCCATCACCAAAGACATTTTTCCCTCCCCACCCTTATCTGCTTTCCGGAGGGACCACTCTCTCCGTGACTCCCTTGTCTGCTCCACACTCGGTACTTTTCCCTGCAACCGCAGGTAGTGCTACACCTGCCCCTACACCTCCCCCCTCACCCCCATCCCAGGCCCCAAGAAGACCTTCCGCATCAAGCAGATGTTCACCTGCACATCTGCCAATGTGGTATACTGTATCCGCTGTTCCTGTTGTGGCCTCCTCTATATCGGGGAAACCAAGCGGAGGCTTGGGGACCGCTTTGCGGAACACCTACGCTCAGTTCACACTATACAACTGCACCTCCCAGTCGCGAACCATTTCAACTCCCCCTCCCATTCTTCAGACGACATGTCCATCCTGGGCCTCCTCCAGTGCCACAACGATTCCACCCGAAGGTTGCAGGAACAGCACCTCATATTCCGCGTGGGAACCCTGCAGCCCAATGGGGACTTCACAAGCTTCAAAATCTCCCCTCCCCCAACCGCACCCCAAATCCAGCCCAGCTTGTCCCCGCCTCCCTAACCTGTCCGTCCTCCCTGGACTGACCTATCCCCTCCCTAACTCCCCACCTGCACTCACCTTTACTGGCTCCATCCCCGCCTCTTTGACCTGTCTGTCTCCTCTCCACCTATCTTCTCCTTTATCCATCTTCTATCCGCCTCCCTCTCTCCCCATTTATTTCAGAATCCCTTCCCCTCCCCCATTTCTGAAGAAGGGTCTAGGCCCAAAACGTCAGCTTTCCTGCACCTCTGTTGCTGCTTGGCCTGCTGTGTTCATCCAGCTCTACACCTTGTTATCTCAGATTCTCCAGTATCTGCAGTTCCTATTATCCCTAAATAATGGAGAATGGTCGATGATTGTTTTAAGCATGTTGTAAACTCATTTACATTCCCCTCAGGTGACGATGTTGTGGACATTTCTAGTAGCACTACTGGCGACAGCAAAAATACAGTGAACTGTAAAATAAGCTTTCAGGATACAAGACTAGATATGCAGAAAAATTTCAAAATAACCTGATTTATATGTTTGACAACACGCAAAATTTTGAAGAGAGAGAGAGGAGATGGAGGGGGAGGGGGAGATGCTGGGATTTGAATGACAAAGTGGGGAGTCGAGATAAGGCTGGAAGATTTGCAGAGCTTTGTTATGATTGCAATTAATGGTAATACCGAATGAGTCAAATCTCAGAGTGAGATCTGATTCAACAAACCAGAAGTTTTACTTTTTCTTTTGATTATCATGGAAATCAGTCGTTGAACAAATTAACACAAGACTGCCAATGTACTTTTAACAAAAGAACAATGTTTATTACACAAAAGAAAAAGTACAAACTGTTAAGTTATCCAGTCTCATTACTAACAAAGATTCCTAAGTTCGCAGACAATATGAAGGTGGGTCGAGTTGCGGATAGTGCGGAGGGCTGTTCTAGGTTACAAAGGGACATTGATAGGATGCAGAGCTGGGCTGAGAAGTGGCAGATGGAGTTTAACCCTGAAAAGTGTTAGGTGATTCATTTTGGAAGGACAAACTTGAAAGCAGAATACAGGGTGATCGGAAAGATTCTTGGCAGTGTGGCGGAGCAGAGGGATCTCGGGGTTCACGTCCACAGTTCCCTGAAAGCTGCCATCCAGGCAGCTTTCTCTTTCTCCCTCTCTCTCTCTCATCCTCTCTCTCTCTTAAGGCGGCGTATGGTGTGTTAGCTTTCATTAATAGAGGGACTGAGTTCAAGAGCCATGAAGTTAGGCTCCAGCTATATAAAACCCTGGTTCGGCCACATCTAGAGTATTGTGTACAGTTCTGGTCACCTCATTGCAGGAAAGATGTGGAAGCATTGGAAAAGATGCTGAGGAGATTTACCAGGACGTTGCCTTGAATGGAGGGAAGGTCTTACAAGGAAAGGTTGAGCGCGCTGGGGCTTTTCTCTTTAGAACAACAAAGGATGAGAGGTGACTTGATAGAGGTGTACAAAATGATCAGAGATATAGATACAGTAGACAGCCAGCGACGACTTCTTAGGGTGGAGGTAGCTATTATGAGGGGCCATAGTTTTAAAGTGAGTGGAGGTAGATATAGGGGAGACGTCAGAGGTAGGTTCTTTACTCAGAGAATGGTAGGGGCGTGGAATGCATTGCCTGAGAGGGTAGTGGAGTGGGCCTCATTAGGGGCATTTAAGCGGCTATTAGATAGGCATTTGGATGATAATATAAGGTAGGCTGGAGGTTAGATAGACCTTAGGATTAGGGTAAAAATTTGGCACAACATCGTGAGCCGAAAGGCCTGTACTGTGCTGTACAGTTCTATGTTCTATTCTTGCCTCCCAACAATTTTACAGATATCCAAACCTCAATGAAGAGTCATCCGTCTCCACATTGAAGTTCCTTGTTCAATTGACAAAGTTATAGTTGGTTTCTTTCTGACAAATTTCTACATTTTGTATACGCTATTATCTTTAATGTCTACTCCCAAAACCTTTGAACAAGTTGCTACATCATCTCACTTACTACTTAATATGGGTTCCTTAATTTCATGTTGACAGTTTTATAAGAGGTCTTCCTCTAAGACATTAACACAGCCTTGTGTTTCTGAACTTTTCTTTAAAGCAAGTCAGGACTTCTCCCCTTCTGTTTTAGTTTAGCACTCTGCTAAATTAACAGTCTCTCTGCTGCGTTGGAGTATTTCTCTCTGAATGAAAGCTTTTCAGTCTCTTGCTTGGATTTGTAAAACTCAAGTCAGCAAATACTTAGCAATTGTCTCGGAGATGTTTGCTCATCATTTTGATAAAAACCACACTATTTCTTGGAAATGCAGACTTTACCTCACTACTCAAATTGAGGGACATTCTTGTTTAAAAAAAAAGCCTAGTTCAGACCTGAATGGAAAATATAGCACCAATTACTATCAGTAGAGAAAAAGTAGGAAACAAATGGGGCTAAAGGCCTTAGA